ACAGTGCAAGGAGAAGTCTTGAGCAGAGGAAAACCCTAACTGGATCTTGATCTTCAAAGGTCTTGTGATGAGAAAATGTTGAGGAAATGGGAGGGCAACTTTTGGGGTACAACAGGTAACAATGGAGAATGTTCCAAAGTTCAGCACCTAAAGAAACCCTCAAATCATTCTTCTTCATGCAATGCTCAAACAGTGCTGAAAACTTATTTTGTGTCTGCTTATGATAAGGGTAAGAATCTAACCCAAACTAAACATAAGATAATTGAATTAAAGGATATGAACAAATCAATACCCGAGACATCAAAGTCAGAGGTTCTTAAGAATTCAGTTTCTAAGGTTCAATAATCAATGGAACTGATAAGATCAGAACCTGAGGTTCAAAAGTCACAAGTTTTGAAGAAATTAGAACATAGGACCTATCAACCAAATATTCTGAAGGGTTTAGAAATTAAAGTCAAGACTTATCCAAGACAAAAAATTTATAAGCAAAAATTCTAGAATGAGTCTAGACCTTTTTATCAGGAAAATGCTCAAAATAAAAGGAAGTCTGCTAGAACTAACACTAGAGGAACCATAAGAGTATGGGTACATAAATCTGAGACTGTGTTTGTTGTATATATGCCTAAAGGGAAAAAAAGTAGCAGTTGTGGTACCTGGACAGTGGCTGCTCACGACATATGACATGAGAAAGACATATGTTCCAAACCCTAACTCTAAAAGTGGAAGGAAGTGTGGGTTTTGGAGGAGGACAAAAAGGGAATATCATTGATATGGATACTATTGGTAATTCTCTAATCTATATCAATAATGTTTGGTTAGTGGATAGACTCAAACATAACCTACTAAGTATTATTCCATTTTGTGACATTGGTTATGATGTCTTGTTTAATTAGAACATATGCCCAGTCATCAATGAATCTGACAACTCTATTTTATTCAAATGGAAGAGGAAGGGAAATGTCTATAAAATAAATCTTTATGAATTGGCTGATTAAAAGGTAGTTTTCCTAATGTCTGTGAGTGATGAGAAATGGGTCTGGCACAAAAGATTAGGTCATGCTAACTAGAGATTAATCTTTAAACTTTACAAACAAAAACTTGTTAAATGGCTGCCAGATCTTGATTATCACTCAAATGCTCTTTGTGGAGCATGTAAAGTAAGAAAGATTAATAAAACTTCTTTCAAATCTAAGAACATTGTCTCTACCTCTAGACCCCTTAGAATTACTTCACATTTATTTATTTGTTCTTGTTGGGACTACCTCAATCAATATGAAGAATTATGGATTGGTCATTGTTGATGACTATAGCAGATAGACTTGGGTTAAATTCCTTATGTTAGGTTTTGATTTGTTGAATGTATTTTGTTAAAACAACTAGTTCAACAAGATGTCGTGACATGTTAGTACGACAATTCAATTGTGACGTTTCCAGTTTTAAAAGATTTGTTTTATGTTTTAGAAGATTTGATTGTTGTTCCTTGTGGACCAAGCAACGCATTGGATATTTGATTTACCGAAGATTTGTTTCTTGCCAGAAATATCTGAAGATTTAGTTCTCAAAATAGAATGTCAAAGCATTATTGATAACATATCTTTCCGCACCAGAAAATTTGATTTGATTTGATTTGATTTGCAGAATATTTGTTTGTCCAGATTTAATATCCAAGCCTAGGCGCTTTTGTGGCTATAAAAATAAGCATTGTAAACCTAAAGAAGATACGAAGCTGCACATGAGAGTAAAGACTTTACGGTTTCGTCTTTTCTTTGTTCATTATTCACTTGAGCCACTCTTGTATCTTGTTGATACATGAGTTGAACTCTTTAGTTGAGTTGTAATTTGTGAACCACTCATAAGTTGTGAAGTTATAGTGTATTATGTTTAATTGAGTAATAGATCACTATGTTTTGATGGTATGAACACTTTTGCATTAGAATTTGAGACGGTGCAAGAGTTGTGCCTTTAGGGTTCACAAAAAACGTCAAGTGTTGATGTGTCAATATTTATAGGTTGATAATACATTATTATTTATTATTTAATTATTTATTATTAAATAAATTGGTATATGATTAAGACCATAGGTTTTGGCATTTTATTTTATTTAAATACGACCTGTAAATTGTGATTTATTTTATATGGTCTGTGTGTCGTGGTTTATTGTAATTAAATACGACCTATGTGTCGTGCCATTTAATTATTATTTATATTATTTAAATATTTTAAATGTTCAAGCTCAAGAATTTAAGAGAAAACAATGTCAAACAATGATGCCGATGGAGAGGATTTAGAAGCTTGCTCGTGGGTTAAAGAATTGTAATAAAGTAGTTTATTTAATTCTTGCGTTTTAGGTGGTCATAATCGTATTATCAACTTTTATTTCATGTATACGGTGCATGTATTGTATGTTAATATGCGGGTGTATGAGATACACAGTTAAGTGAGATCAAACTTAAGAAAAAATCCCTCAATTAAATATTAAGTTAATTGCTTTCTAAAATTTAGCACTCATCAAGATTAGTATCGAATAATGTAGGTTTCGCCCACACGAGGTGCATGTTTTAGATTAGTAAGGTGTGATGGGATAAATGTAATATCCAACTGCTAAATTTTTTGGTTTGACTTAACTAGACTACTTATAATAGGATTTTATATGTTAGAACCAAGAGTTGAGAACAATTCATATGATGGATTAGAATAAGGAGTTATTTACTCAACTGATAAAATTCGAGAGTTGTATTAGATACAATTGAAAAGAGTTCTTACCTAAATAACATAGTTTTGTGTAATCCGCATTCCTGCGCTACACCCCCACCTTACTGCTTCACCATATGTTTTTTTTTGTGTGGAAGAAATGCTAGGCCAAATTTCCAGGCCCCACATTGTTTATTGAACATGCACCATTGTTTATGATCCACACACCTGCTTTTAATTTCTTTTTGTTAATTTTTACATAGTTTGTTCTATTGTATTCTTTTTGGCATGAGGATTGATTAATAAGCAGGTCATGATCCTTGAATAAGTGGTTGAGTGATTGTTTTTGGTTATGCTCATGAAAAAGTTAAAAATTTATATTTCATCAAATGTTCTTGTGATTTACTAGCTTTGTGATAGAATGTTGATGTGATTTTTGTGATATGGAACACTTAGAGATTAACTCGTTTGATCACTTGTGCGAAGCAGCTTCTATAGAGTCTTCTCATCGCTTGCGTGGCTTCGAAGAGACAACTGACCTTCTCCGTTAGATACCACTTAAGTTTATCTCTCTTTCATGCATCTGCATCTGAATTCCTACGACGTAGGCATTAGGTTTATTTATTGCTTATTGTTGAACGATGAGTCACTCAATTAAAATTGAGATCACGACTTCGCTCTCAATGCAATGCTCTCTATAGGACTTTATTGCTTTCCTTTATTTATTATCGATCGATGAGTCACTCAATTAGAATTGAGATCACGACTTTGCTCTTAGTGCATATTCCCTACAGGACTTTATTGTTTTCCTTTACTTATTATTGATCGATGATGTCACTCAATTAGAATTGAGATAACAACGTCGCTCTCAGTGCATGTTCCCTATATGATTGTTATCCTCTCCCTTAGGTCTATCTTTGTTACTAACACTAGTTATATTCTTCCTTTGTCAATCCAAACTTTAAGACCACGTTGTATGCTAACATTAGGACTCTAGTTCCCCCTAGTTTTTCTTTCTTTTGCATCCATCTTAAAACAAAAACTCTTCCTTATTCAAATTCAAAAACACTTAATCATACTTAAACACTTTCAGAAATAAAAAAAATGCAAACCAATCAATCGTGACATTTTTGCCTTGAGGGCGTAACTCAAAATCTTTTCAAAAGGTTTCGTCACCCATAAAAAACACAAACAAACAAAAAATTTTGAGTCGAACTACAACACTCTGATTTCTCGAAAGGGATATGTAGGCATTAGGTCGCGGGGCCTAAGCGAGAAAACTTTGTAAGTATTCATTCTTTTCCCCGTACTTTCTTTCACATGCATTCCCTCTTAGCATTAAGCTTTAGACATATATTTTTACACACTCTTTTGATTAAAACAACAAGAGTGGATCATGTGGAGTACCACAGACACGTGGGGTACTAATATCTTCCATTCATGTAACTGACTTTCATACTCTTTCTCTTGGTCGCAAGATCATCTTATCCATTTATTTGGGGTTCTCTCAATATCTTCCCTTCCTTCGAGATAAATAGAGTTCAGTGGCGAATCTGTGTTTTTTTCGCTGCGCGACAATTGGATGAGGAAAAGGACACCATGATTTGTACTACACTAGATGGACAATATGCTATGAGCATAAACTATAAGTACCAAAATGATTAAAGTGTTAATCACTAGATCCCTATCAAGAAGGTTTATGATTATCTTAAAGGACCTAGTGTTCCTTTTCTTGAAAGTAGATGAAAATAATCATTGTAAAGGAGTTACAATGATGTTATTCCAAAATTTATGACTATATATTCATGTACATCCCGAAATATTTGCATTAAGATCGAGGTATGAACTCGAATAAACAACGATGTACGAGATCATCCTTAAAGAGACCAAAACTGACTACTTAGATAGGTCCAAACAAGTATGAGTTTGGCACAATACCACCGATATACAGAAAATCGGTCCCGAGGAATGCAAGAGGTGTAACCATAACCTAATGATAAGATAGACGATTACAAGCGTTACAAAACCATTAAAGTGTGGTTACAAGCGTTACGAATATTTAATGGACACTTATATCATTATGGTCATTAACTGTAGCTATCCGGGAAGGTTAAAATCTATACGGTTAAAATTTCATAATCCTTGCTGCAATCTAATCTCCTAATATTGACACTTGTTCGTGGCCAGCCATGAGCCATGTTGACAGATGGCAAAAAAAGGATATCAATATCCCAAATAGCCGTTTGGATCAACTGGACGGCTAGCTCAAACTCACGTCGCCGGAAATACCAAAGGTCTTTCATATGACAATGACTGTTCCAAAACTCAGCGGCGACGATCCTTCGTGGCCACTCTCCTTGCCAACCTGGTACAGTGGAGGGGCGATGTCAGTTTACCAAATCTTCTTGGGGAACAACATCTATAATGATGTCATCGGGAGAAGCATCACCAAATTCCCTTGCTTCTGTGGGAGGTAAAGGGTATCACTTTCCCCATCGGCACAAATCGCCGCTACCGCAAATCTCACCCTCAATGACCGAGATCAATTCACGGAGGGATTAAGCCGAGGACATCAGCGGTAGCTTTACAAATGACATCCTGGTAGTTATCGGCGAAGTTGATGATTCCGAATTAACATCGAAGCTGGTCGCGGAAGCGGCAGAATCTCGAACTAAGAGACCTTAGAACAGACAACGCGAGTTTTGGATTCGGCTACCGATCTACTTAGATCCTCCTCAGCCAGCAAGGAACCCCTTGCTTCTGTGGGAGGTAAAGGGTATCACTTTCCCCATCGGCACAAATCGCCGCTACCGCAAATCTCACCCTCAATGACCGAGATCAATTCACGGAGGGATTAAGCCGAGGACATCAGCGGTAGCTTTACAAATGACATCCTGGTAGTTATCGGCGAAGTTGATGATTCCGAATTAACATCGAAGCTGGTCGCGGAAGCGGCAGAATCTCGAACTAAGAGACCTTAGAACAGACAACGCGAGTTTTGGATTCGGCTACCGATCTACTTAGATCCTCCTCAGCCAGCAAGGAACCCCTTGCTTCTGTGGGAGGTAAAGGGTATCACTTTCCCCATCGACACAAATCGCCGCTACCGCAAATCTCACCCTCAATGACCGAGATCAATTCACGGAGGGATTAAGCCGAGGACATCAGCGGTAGCTTTACAAATGACATCCTGGTAGTTATCGGCGAAGTTGATGATTCCGAATTAACATCGAAGCTGGTCGCGGAAGCGGCAGAATCTCGAACTAAGAGACCTTAGAACAGACAACGCGAGTTTTGGATTCGGCTACCGATCTACTTAGATCCTCCTCAGCCAGCAAGGAACCCCTTGCTTCTGTGGGAGGTAAAGGGTATCACTTTCCCCATCGGCACAAATCGCCGCTACCGCAAATCTCACCCTCAATGACCGAGATCAATTCACGGAGGGATTAAGCCGAGGACATCAGCGGTAGCTTTACAAATGACATCCTGGTAGTTATCGGCGAAGTTGATGATTCCGAATTAACATCGAAGCTGGTCGCGGAAGCGGCAGAATCTCGAACTAAGAGACCTTAGAACAGACAACGCGAGTTTTGGATTCGGCTACCGATCTACTTAGATCCTCCTCAGCCAGCAAGGAACTCTCGTCCGAACCGGGAGTAACGCCTCCCTCGATCCGGTTCAGTACGAAGAAGTCAGGAATGCAGTTGACAGATGTCGACAATGATTAATGGTCACGTGCATCTCGCTGAAGATATCGGAGACGCGGTCGTCACTTATGCAGGGTCGTAGAAAGAGCTGGTAAACGAGGCTGCTGCTACGGTTTATGGACAAGCTGTCAATCTCATATTAGCTACCAAATAGCAAGTATGCACATGTTCATTCTTCTCCAGTGCAATAGCCATTTGTAAGTGTCGGAAATAGTAGTGTGCCTATTAAGATGTGGTTGGGCCTAATTCAACCCTACAAAACCGGCTTGTAGGGTGAGGATTGCCCCCACTTATAAACACATGTTCAGGCCATATATTGTCTGATGTGGGACTCTTAACACACCCCCTCACGCCCAGGACTAGACAACTGGAGCGTGGAAATAAATGGTGGATGGCCCACTGGATCTTAAACGAGGCTCTGATACCATATTGAAGTTACAGTGAAACAAGCTTGCTTCCATTGAAGAAGCAAGAAGAAGAGGATGAAGATCTAACTGAAAACAGTTATGCATAACAAACTTGCAATGAAATAGTAAAGGCCAAGATTATTATTCACTGTATATTGAATACAAAAGAATGATACAAGGGTTTATATAATGTATTCTAACAACTAATCTAAGCTGTACAAGTGGCAGTCATCTAAGCAACATAAAAAAGCAATAGTGTAGATAAAATACATTGAGCTAATAGTGCCCGAAATGTGAGCACAATGTTACGGGAACACTACTCCACGCATCCAGCATCACACTGGGGCTGAAATGGAGATCCGGTCAGAAGACCCAAAGGCCTAACGATGTCTCCACTACACACTTTCAGTTCCCAGTTAGGAAGAGCTGTCGTTTGACCATTTATGAGTGCCGACATATTTACACATAACAGGATCCGGTAGCATCGGTGATACCGTCAATCAAAGATAAGTCCATTGACTTCTCAGTATGCTCATGACTATTGTTGTTGCTCATGATTAGCTTAGGTTCAAATTCGGATTTCTCTTTTGTGTAGTGATATTTTCCAACTCAAGGGATACATATTGCATTGCATCATGCACTTTCTCGTAGTTTGGCGGAAACTGATGAGTATGATGAAGGATCCTGATCATGTTCTATCATGTGTTTCCACACAACACAATTGGAATTACATGTGGTAACTTTGCCTCACACTGTTTTCCACTAACCTGGGGCACCATAAGATCGTGTTTATATAAACTGGCATCGAGGCGGAGTCATTATGTCCAATGTAGCGCAGATGGAAAGCTACTCGTGACGCGTTGCAACACCGGCATCGTGTAGGAGTAATGTCGGCATATTCAAAGAGATAAGTGAATCTTAATCTTTTACTATTTAATGGCAATAGGTTGTTATATGATTAACAAAATATTCAGGATATCCTAAATTTTGCTTGCACCAGGATTCGAACCGATCGCTATGTATATATCATTTTTACATTAAGTTTTCTAAAGATTATAATGAATCACTCTGGTTGTAGTCCATTGCCATTTTCTATTTAGTTTGGGGAAAATTAGATTGGAGTACTTTGCAGGTTGTTAAGCAAAATATCTTGATCATTGTCACATCCGATTATTCATATTTGTATGATAATACAACAAATTGCATTTCGTCTATATGCATGAGTTTCATTCAATTATGAATGACGTGTTTATTTTGAGGAGCAAGTAGTATATTACATACTACTTATATATGTGTTCATGTATGTACAAAGTTTTAAGAACTAAAGCTTGAAATTGGTGTAGTGAGTAATGATATGAAACTGAAACGGAAAAGAAATTGAATAATGTCTGTATGGACACAAATTCTTTCCATAATATGATGAAAACGTTGGATCATCAAGCAATGCCATGTTTACATTGTTATAATTGTTTCAGGTGCTATAAAGACCAAGAACGCTGAGCACTCTCTGACAAAAGCCAAGAAATTTTCCCGACTCAACAGGCCAAGTCCGTATGTGGGCTTTGTAAGATTGTTGACAAATTCAAGAGATTGGAGATTTATAAGAACTCGGACTTTAATTACTTTTCTTATTGACTTTAATTACTTTTCTTATTGAATAAAGGCGAGTAAACCGGCCTTAGTAGTTGTAGTTAGCGCTAGTGGAAGGCACCTCATCTCTTTTCTAAACTTATATAGATTTTATTGGAGGATGACCAGAAGAATCTATGAAACCGGGATACCATATAATAGAAGTTAAAGAACACAAATCGGCTGATCTTGTCGGTGCAAAAATTTGACATAAGGGAGGAAGACTTTGGGTCAAAGCGTTTCATCTTGTTCCGACAAAGCTTTATGCTTGGGGGGATTATATAAACATCTCGGTTATGCATAGGCAGTCCGGTTATAAGTTAGTAAAACCTAGTAAAACACAGATTTATACTTTATGCTAATTAGTATTGTTGTAGGGGAGCTATTGTCTCTGCCGTTTGTAAACTAACTCATTTAGATTTGTTAAAAGAAGTAAAGAGTGTCGTCCTTTTCCCTTGCGTGGGCGGGGATTCGAAGTCAATTTGAACAAACTGTAAGCAATTTGTAATCAGACGTTGTCAGATAGTGTAAATATAAACACTCGGCCTACAAACTTGGTCAACCTCGCCAAGGCTCTGGACCTACTCGACCATCTTATTAGGGGTTATGATCCGACAAAAATTCGAAGTGCACTTAATGCCTCTCGCAAATTCGGTCACCCTCACCAAGGCTCTAGACCTACTCGTCCACCCTTACTAGGGGCTCTGATTCGGCAAAAAGTTGAAGCGCACTTAATGCCTCTCGCAAACTCGCTCACTAGGAATAGAAATAGGTCAGATCGATAACAGAGGTCTACGGCCAAACCTATATAGGCTCAGGCTACGACCTAGTCTACATAGGCTCAGGCTAGGCCTATGCTTTTTTATAAGCCTATTTAGTTAAAAAGGCTAGGCCTCTAAGGTCATGAAAAAAATCTTTTAGGCCTAACAGGACGACCTATATAAATAAATATGAATACTTTTTTTATTATCATTATGTGTCATACCTCAAATTTTCCCTATATATTTCCAACAATTTGTTCCCTATTAAAGTTATCACTTCTATAAAGGTTTATATTGTTGTCAAATTATTGTGGGGTTTAAATTCATGAAAGGGGGGTGTATTATTCAACGGACCATCAAAATCTGATGGCCCATTAAATTATAAAATCTATTTCAAGATATAAAAGAGAGGTATATTGTTACAATATGGGGGTGTGGTATTTTGGACCATCAAAATCTGATGGCCCATTAAAGATTGTTTCGTATGCTTTAAGGAGGGGTGTATTTTTTTGAAATCAATTAGGCCCATTACAATGTTGTCAGACCCGTTTAGAATAAACAAGGGGGAGTGTTTTTATCTTTTGAAACCATTTACTCAATGTTTTTTCTTGTAATAAGAGGGGTGCATATTGTTAGGTAAGCCCATATCACTTTTTGAAAACTCTTGTTAACTGTTTTGAGCGTTTTTTGGAGAAATCTTAAAAGTCGACTCGTTTGTTTCTTTAAGCCCATTAGATCGTTATGATTGTCTGATTAATTATTGTTATTCATTATTATTATTAGAAATAAATATTTTTGTTGACTTTTGGGTCAAATTAGAAGAGAATATTTTAATTGCTCAGCCAACGGTGTTGCCATTCTTCATCAAGATTACACGAGCCCAAAGCCCAAGAAACGTGCACTGTAAAGATTCAACAAGGAAAAACACATTTGAAACTGTAACAAAACAAGATCTTCATAAATTAAATCTTGGAGTAAATCAAATCTGGAAATTAATATTTGTTTTCATTCACTGAAAATGAATCTACACAATAACAAGATCCAAGTACATATTACAAAATCCTAATTTCAAACAAAATCATTCTAAATCAATTTACAACAAATCGAATCCCTGAAAAATATTAATCTTCCTAAATCCTAAAATTAATTACAAATTGTAACGACAATCATAAACAAATATT